CAGCTCATGTTGATGTCAGACCCTGTGGACACTGACGGCTGTGTTCCAGCAGCTTCTGGTCCATCCAGAGCTGCTTTCTGCTGGTTCCTGGTTGACTCTTGACCATCCTGACCAGTCGTCTCTCAGCAGCAGGTGATAGTTTGTGTTTCCTTCCTGATGGTGGCAGTAACACAACTGGACCATGATGCTGACACACTGATGGTTCTGGATCTGAAGCTGCTCTGAAACGGCTCCAAGAGATTTATTTATTTATTTTTTTTGGAGTTGTTCAAGTCAGTAATTTGATTTTTCAGATCTCTGCTCAAATGGTTCTATTTACAGTAGCTCAGAGGAGTCAGCAGCTGTACTCATGAGAAATTAAGACACCATGAAACTAAGAACATTTGATCAACACAACTTTCTGTACCACCAAAACTGATACTAGAAGTTGCTGTATGTACATTTTTGAACCAGCAGAATTTGTCGTATTTCCAGAAGCTCTACAACAAATCTGTAAAAGAACCAAAACAAACAATTGTTTTTATGAAGAAGACGTGTTTCAGTGATTCCCTCATAGAAAATTCAGAGTCACAGGAGTCACTGTAAATTCCAGACTGATGGACGTGGTCTCTACAAGTGAGAGTAAACTCTTGTTTACTTCTGCCAGCTGACCTCTGCCTGCACTCTGCAGCCATTAAAATGCAAATAAAGAGCTTTTAATCCACAGATCTGTTCCATTTAGCCTCCTTCTGCTTTGTTTATTCTCCGTCATGTTTCGTCTTCGCTCCAAATGAGGCCGACTTGCATCGAGTCAAATTAAAAACTGCCATGCTGGGCCGTTGCGTAATCACAACAACTCTGAATGATGGACGGCTTGTTTGCGCTGCCTTCTACTACATTATTAGTGTCCCACTAGTGGAATGAATCGGCGAGCATGCAGAGCGGGGCGGGCTGAGGTGTCGGTCCGGTCCTGCACAGAGCCCACTGTTGTATTCACAGCCGATGCGTGTCATTAGTCCTGAATGTGGAGTCTGTGCCAGCTTTGTGCCCATTGTACCGACGCTTTAATCTGATCAGCCGAGTGCTTCACAGAGCCGGAGAGCCAGAGGAGCTCCGAGCAAACGAGGATCCAGACCATGGTTTAATTACCGGCGGAAATGATTAGAAATTGTGATGAAAATTTTTTTTAAAATATGTTAATAAATGGTGAAAATCTGGCAGTAAGGGCACCACAAAAAAAAATACAGCAGAAAACTGTGACGTTAAAAAGCTGTGAAAATAACAGCAAACAAGTGCCATATAATGATATATTTGGTGGTCTTAAATGCAGTAAAAGTATGTATTATTTACAGTTTAATACTTTTTTCCTGTGATTATACTAGAGATTATTTGCAATTTATCAAAACACAGAAAATCTGTAAAAATAACAGTTAAAATATATTTACATTATTTTAAAAAATCCTTTCTATACATCTGCTTTTTTTTTTTTCAAATAACAGCAACTATTTGTTAAATAATATTCTTTGCTCTTTTAAATACAGTACATGCCTTGCAGAGAGGGCCTGTTTTTTTTATTCAACATGTAAATTATTACTGTTTTTTGTATTTTTTAAACTGGTTATTATCCGTAAAAATGAAAGTCTTACAATTTTTAAAATTCTTAATATACAACATTTTTCTTCTGTATATTTTTATTTATTTATATATTTTTGGCTGATTTAAATACAGTAAGAAATTTGTCAGTAAAACTAAGAAAGTAAAAATAAATAAAACATTCTAACAGAACAAATGACCATTTATACAAAATACAGATTTTGATGTGCACTGCAAGACAATTACTATATTTTAAACCAATTTTTTAACTGTTTATCTTGAAAAATTTACTGTAATTTAGTATTTTAACGATTTTGTAAAGTTACAAATAAATAGTAAAATCATGGAACAATATTTCCTTTTGTTTAAATCCACTGTAAAGGTTATAATTTTGCAGATTTGCTGTTAATTGACTGTTTTTGTTTGTTTGTTTGTTTTCATCAGCACTGTAGTTTGTCACCTGATCTGGGTGAGTAAAGGCCTCTGATTGGCTGAAGTCTCCCGTCATTGGCTAGATTTTCTAGCAGAAGTCAAGTTTCCTCTCAGATTATTTGAATTATAAAATGCTGAAATATTAGTGAGGAATTTTTGACCAGTGGCACACAAACAAAAATCAAAAAAACAAAACAAACCCCCAAAAAATGCTTACTCCGGCTTTAACTGGAAATCCTGTTTAAATACAGCTCAGGCAAGAAACATGAAAACAATGAAACACATGGAATAATAAATTAATTTCTACAGCAAGTAAATAAGTAACGTAAGGCTTTTACTTTTTTAAGGAGTAATACACCACTGCTCATTTTAGTTGTATTTAAGGTTTGAGCTGCAAGTTAAGTGACTTTTAGAGCAAACTTCACATGAATCAACACCAGAAGAGTTTCAGTGAAGATCATCAGTGTCATTAATCTGAAAGCTCCCAAACTGACTTATGAACCCAAACCGAGAGGAGAAAGTGTTTCTGAAATGGCAGGAAACTTTGATTCCTTTACCTTCTGAGTCACAGTTTCCCCGCCAGCTTTCAGAGGTCGCCTCTTCCTCTTCCTCACCGCCGGACCTGCTGCTGGCGCCGGTCCAGCCGACGAGCACTCCTTCAGCAGAACCTCCTCCGGCTGCACACAGACCACCGGCTTCTCTTTGGGCTTCTTCTTCCTCTGAAATGAAATGCTCAGTGTGATCACTTCACATTTACATATCTGAGATACAGATTCTTATTGTTCTATTAGAGACTTAATAATTCTTTCACCAACACTAGGTTGATTTTTCAGTTTTAGATGTGACCAGATGTTCTTTTTCCTGCTGCTAGAATCCCTTGAAGTGGAATAAAATCCTAATAATCCATCCAACATCCATTTGAAAACTTAATTTTACGATATTTAGAGCATTGTTGCTGCACAGTCTTCATCCACGCAACGACTTTTGCAACGTCAACGTCATTTCTTGAACCTTATCTCAGTTCGGAGACATGCGACGTTCTGAAAGGACGGATTGTACGGTTCTGTGAATTAAAACCGGCAGAATGTACGAGCTGCATTTTCATTGTCCAAAACAAACAAGACCCTCTTTCGTTCAGACTTTTTTAAAATCACATGCAAACATAATGACATCATTCACATTTTGCAGAGACGTGAAGCCGCTGGGCTCAGCTGTAACCTTTGAACCACCAGCAAGTCATGAATTCAGAGACGTCTTTACACAGTCTGCTATTGTGCAGTAAAAAAAAGAAAAAAGGAATTTTATTTAATTTTCCATTTTTATTTTTATTTTATTTTATAAATACAGTAAATGATATTACGAACAACAATAGACTGTGAATGTGCATCTCTAATGAAAAACATCATTAAAAACCTGTAATATATTTTTTTTTTTTTTAACAAAAATTTCACTTTTTTAAACTCAAAAAACTGTTAAAATACATTTTCAAATTTAAAGTAATTCACAAATATTTACAA